TGGAGATCTGTCTTGATATTATCGTTTTGCAATCCAGTAAGAACTGTATGCATGAACAGGCTCTGTACTAATGCAGGATCATACTTAAGGCCGGACTCAGCTTCCTGTGATGCAAATAGTATTTTCTGTCTCAAATCCATCGTCCTAATGATAAAATTTTGTGGAGTCTCTTTACAGTTTTGCACTTCTGCTGCGAGCTGCTTATATAACTCTGTTGCACTTCGTTCTTGATAGTGTGAGCGCAGAATTCCCCGGAGTGTTGGCAGAGTCAAGTCATTTTTACCCTCCAAGTAGCTCCGCAGCTGAAGGCCGGGGACGACAGCTCTAACCACAGCATCAACTATTTCTAATTCAGGGTAACCTTTAGTAAGACTACTCTCAATTTGGCGGGCGAGGCTGGAGAAGGTAAGCCTGTCTTTTTGCCCAGGTTCACCAATTTGCCCTGAGATTTTTAAATCTTTTCGCCACTGCACAGGGTTTGCATTAGCGGTGGCGTAAACTGACCCATGAACACTATTCACTGTCATGTCCGTTGGATTTGTCTTTACATTTCCTTTTACTTCAGCTTCCTTTTGCTGTACCATCAATTTTAAATGTTCTATTTCTCTCATTAACTTGTCTTGGTCTTCAGCCTCTTTGATTGTCGTTTCAGGTTCTTCTGCTGGCTGTTGCAGTGTCTTTATTGTGTCCAGTAAACTCAACATCTCCGACATACCTTCATCTTCCAGGGTGCGCAGTTCATCACGCTCAATATGCTTGACAATATGTGACGATAAGGCATTGCGTGTTTTTCCTTTTACATTTTCTTTATTATGACCAGATATCATGAGAAAGTCACATATTTGTATTAAATCACTGGCTGCAAGTTGGTACAGCGCTGCCTTGATCTCAAACTGCAAATTTTCCATTTCTGGATCCATTTCAGATAAACGGACCTATTGGATGTTGTTTGCCTCTTGTCTTTGGTTTTGCTGCTCCCTGGTGGACAGTTTTTGCACTTCAAGAAGATCGCTTTCCGACCGCCAGACCCATAGACTATATTTTCAGACCTCACTCGAGCCGCGTTTCTTCTTACTCCTGGCTGGGTTTATTTATTTTTCTATTTTATTAGAAAAAGAGATGATTGCAGTGTAGTGGCTTCCTCTGTCACAGGTGGACCAGCTCACACAATCATCCCAGCGGTGCCTCCAAATGTAATAGCCCTGAAAAGGGGATAAAATAAAAATAAGACCAGGACACGTCTTTCCTCAAGCCTAGCTGGTTTATGAATCAGAAAAACAATCTTTCTTACATTTGGACACATTTAAATTAACATTCAACGATTTCCACTGTTCCCGCGCTAGCAACGAGAGGCTAATGCTAATTTGGTTAGCAACTAGCGGAGCTCCTTGAAACAACAGCCTACTAGACTAAATTATCACTCTGGATTCAGTTCACAGATACATTGACTCAATATAAAACAATAATGACTGGTTTATGACATTCTGCATATCATACCATACCTGAAAAGGGGATAAAATAAAAATAAGACCAGGACACGTCTTTCCTCAAGCCTTGCTGGTTTATGAATGAGGAAAGACGTAGCCTAGGTGAAGCTCAAGAGCGTCTCCCCCTGCTGGACACTCCACGTAACTACATTAACAACTAAAATCATCTGGTTACATGTGCAGTACAGAGAGGTGTGCAGTACAGAGAGGTGTGCAGTACAGAGAGGTGTGCAGTATAGAGAGGTGCGCAGTATAGAGAGGTGTGCAGTACAGAGAGGTGTGCAGTACAGAGAGGTGTGCAGTACAGAGAGGTGCGCAGTATAGAGAGGTGTGCAGTACAGAGAGGTGTGCAGTACAGAGAGGTGTGCAGTACAGAGAGGTGCGCAGTATAGAGAGGTGTGCAGTACAGAGAGGTGTGCAGTACAGAGGTGTGCAGTACAGAGAGGTGTGCAGTACAGAGAGGTGTGCAGTACAGAGAGGTGTGCAGTACAGAGAGGTGTGCAGTATAGAGAGGTGCGCAGTACAGAGAGGTGTGCAGTACAGAGAGGTGTGCAGTACAGAGAGGTGCGCAGTATAGAGAGGTGTGCAGTACAGAGAGGTGTGCAGTATAGAGGTGTGCAGTACAGAGAGGTGTGCAGTATAGAGAGGTGTGCAGTACAGAGAGGTGTGCAGTACAGAGAGGTGTGAATGTCTGAAATTGGTGATTTTTGTAGACATTAAGGCCCTGTCCACACGAAGTCAAGCTCAGGCCTAAACGCAAAAATACTTTATCAATCCAGTGTATCGTCCATACGAGGCTGGCGTTTTGGGGGGGTGTAAACGAACATTTTTGAAACTAGGTCCCAGAGTGGAAAGATTTCAAAACTCCGTATATGCCGCTCCGTGGTTACTGCCTCTCCGCAATGTATCTGAGACGCTTGCGTCATCGCCCCGCCTCTTGTTAAAGCACGCATGCGCCGCACTCAGAAAATAATGACAACAACAATGTAGCTTGTTGGTTTTGTAATCCAGTGTGACCCGAAGCAACAGTTCAACCTTATCGTCCGTCCATACTAATGTAGTACCAGCTCGCCCACTCGCCATGTTGTCTGTTTACAAAATTCCGCGCATGCCCACGGAAGTTTGGGCTTGATCCCGTCATTGCGTCACAGCGCCACCAACAGGTCTGGCATAGTTTCACAGCGTTTTCAGGCGTATTGACTACATTCATATGGACGCACACATTTACTGAGCTAACTCCGTGTTTACAGAAAAAGTTTCTGAAATTATAAGCGTTTTGTCTTCGTGTGGATATAGCCTAAAACAATCGATGGGCTGGAAAAACGAGAGACAGATCACGCTCGCAACAGGTAATCTAACAGGAGAGCGTGGGTTTATGCCCACTTTTTTGAGAATACTACCCACAATGCTGTGCGGTCGAGCCGGAAGCTCGGAACTCTTGATCCCTAACATTATAACAGGGAAAACTTTCCTTAGATTTGGGAAATAAAGTGTCAGGGCAGGGCCTCACACCCCCCTGGTCCTGCCCGTCTCACACCTGTGGATGCATGCCACTTGTTTATCAACCTGAACTGCCACCTGAACTGATAGGGGCATGAATGTATTACATGTAGATTATTTATTTGAATGTATTCATATTTTTTTTTTTTTTTTTATATAAAGTGGTGACTGGTTAAGTCAAATGAGTTTTTGAACAATGTACTTGCAAAAAAAGGTTTGATAAATATGTACAGATCTTAAAGGCATACATGATCTATTTAAATATTATTTCTCTGTTGTTAAAAGGACTCGAACGGACTCGAAACTCAAACGATAGGACTTGGGACTCGACTCGAGACTTGTCGGCCTTGACTTGGGACTTGTCTTGACTCGGGACTTGAAGGCAAAGACTTGAGACTAACTTGTGACTTGCAAAACAATGACTTGTTCTTGTGCACGTCTCTCGCTCACGGTTTAGTCGGCGTTCCTTCTGGAGCAGGGAGAGCGTTCTGCATTTTTTGGAAAAGTGAAAAGAGCGGTTCTTTCAAAAAATTTGGGAAAACCCTCCTACACACAGCAGAAGTTACAATTTATTTATTTTGTGAGCCTGGTGCTCCATTAAAACAAATGTATTGTGTTGAAAACAAAATGTGGCAAAGCAGTGACGCTACCCAGAATGCATTGCAGAGAAAAATATAAACTTCTTAAAAAATCAACATTTGAGCATTATTTTTAACAGTGAATATGAAGCAAGTCCAAAAGCAAAGTATTTTTTTGTTTCTGATCAAAGCAACACTTTTTACAGTGTACATTAAAAATACACATAATTACCACATCTCTATTTAAGCCACAGGGTTAAAAAAAGAACAAAAAAAGGAGCAGTTTATAGTCCTCCTAACGATGCTTATGACTAGGCCCCTCCCTCCTGGTTCAGGTCTTGGTCCCTCCCTCCCTCCTGGTTCAAGTCTTGGTCCCTCCCTCCCTCCTGGTTCAGGTCTTGGTCCCTCTGTCCTGGTTCAGGTCTTGGCCCCCCCCTCCCTCCTGGTTCAGGTCTTGGTCCCTCCCTCCCTCCTGGTTCAGGTCTTGGTCCCTCCTGGTTCAGGTCTTGGTCCCTCCCTCCCTCCTGGTTCAGGTCTTGGTCCCTCCCTCCCTCCTGGTTCAGGTCTTGGCCCCCCCCTCCCTCCTGGTTCAGGTCTTGGTCCCTCCCTCCCTCCTGGTTCAAGTCTTGGTCCCTCCCTCCCTCCTGGTTCAGGTCTTGGTCCCTCCGTCCTGGTTCAGGTCTTGGCCCCCCCCCTCCCTCCTGGTTCAGGTCTTGGTCCCTCCCTCCCTCCTGGTTCAGGTCTTGGTCCCTCCTGGTTCAGGTCTTGGTCCCTCCCTCCCTCCTGGTTCAGGTCTTGGTCCCTCCCTCCCTCCTGGTTCAGGTCTTGGTCCCTTCTGGTTCAGGTCTTGGTCCCTCCCTCCCTCCTGGTTCAGGTCTTGGTCCCTCCCTCCCTCCTGGTTCAGGTCTTGGCCCCCCCCTCCCTCCTGGTTCAGGTCTTGGTCCCTCCCTCCCTCCTGGTTCAAGTCTTGGTCCCTCCCTCCCTCCTGGTTCAGGTCTTGGTCCCTCCGTCCTGGTTCAGGTCTTGCCCCCCCCCCCCTCCCTCCTGGTTCAGGTCTTGGTCCCTCCCTCCCTCCTGGTTCAGGTCTTGGTCCCTCCTGGTTCAGGTCTTGGTCCCTCCCTCCCTCCTGGTTCAGGTCTTGGTCCCTCCCTCCCTCCCTGGTTCAGGTCTTGGTCCCTCCCTCCCTCCTGGTTCAGGTCTTGGCCCCCCCCCCCCTCCCTCCTGGTTCAGGCCTTGGTCCCTCCCTCCCTCCTGGTTCAGGTCTTGGTCCCTCCCTCCCTCCTGGTTCAGGTCTTGGCCCCTCCCTCCCTCCTGGTTCAGGTCTTGGCCCCTCCCTCCCTCCTGGTTCAGGTCTTGGTCCCTCCCTCCCTCCTGGTTCAGGTCTTGGCCCCCTCCTCCTCCTGGTTCTAAAAGCTCCAGTCTTCACTCGGTCCCTTCAGGTCTCGGCTCTGGCTCTTCTTCTCATGTTGATGTAGACCACGTCTGGATCTGACGACTGACCTGAAGCAAGAGAGTAAACATGAGACAACATAGAGCTAAAATTGTCCGGGTCATCTGGTCTGGTGTGTGTTTGTTTAACCAAAATACCTGCTGAGCTCAGAGCAATACGGAGGGACTGAACTCAGAAGAGAGGCTCGTCTCTTTTATTAGATAGTTTTGGATCAATACACGATTAACAATGTTCTGAATATATACTTTAAAAGATGTCTACCACCTCCTCACTGTTACCCTCAGGTCGCAGTCACAAAGAAACCGCTCTGCTCTCGGCTTTCATCCAGTCATGTCCAGTTAAAACAGCTCTAATCAGTTTCCACAGACCTGCTCCAGTCCGTCTTCGGTGGAAAACCAGGACTAAGACCAGGACCAGACCCACAAAGACCAGACCCAGCAAGACCAGACGGCGCAGCAGAAATGCGGTGAAGCCAGAAGAAGCACCACTGGGTTCTGGAGAAGACAGAGCAGTAGGAGTGGTTGTGGGCCGCACTGAAAAAGAGAGAAGTCTCACATTTGTCCTGTTTATACTTGTACCATCCTTTAAACCCTAAAGCTGGAGTTTGGTTTTACCCTCGACTTTTATTTCATTCCATCATTAAATCAATATTTTTTTGACATTCCTCGATTTTGGATAATTACTTGTTTTTCACCTTATGACATCATGAGACAATCAGACCGTTCAAGACTCAGGACGAGATAGAACCTGATGGCCTATTCTCTCTATTCCAAGACCTTTTACACTTGTTTCCTTATTCTGCTAAAGTTAGAGATTATATACTTACTTCTTTAATCTGCTAAAGTTAGAGATTATATACTTACTTCTTTATTCTGCTAAAGTTAGAGATTATATACTTACTTCTTTATTCTGCTAAAGTTAGAGATTATATACTTACTTCTTTATTCTGCTAAAGTTAGAGATTATATACTTACTTCTTTATTCTGCTAAAGTTAGAGATTATAAACTCACTTCTTTATTCTGCTAAAGTTAGAGATTATATACTTACAGTGCAGTAGTAATTAAAGCAGTAGTAGCAGTAGTAGTAGCAGTAGCAGTAGTAGTAGTAGTAGCAGTAGCAGTAGTAGTAACTGTATAAACAGCAGTACCTTACAGTAATAGCAGCTCATTGGGAGAATGTAAAGAAGATGCAGCACTACGTTCAGCAGGACTCTGATGATCAGGGCTGAGTCTGAAACTGAAGAAAAAAAAACTTATGTAACATTTGTGTTCAATTTGTTAAAAAAAAAATTACATACGTTGAGCAAAACAGAGATTCTCACAAGTGTGTTAACTCTAGTAAAGATTAATTTGCAAATACATTTTTGTTTGAAAATACAGTTTTGCCATTGGAATAAGCACAGACTGTATTTACTTAATCAAAAGTGATCTTGTAGATTGTGAGTGAACATTAGTCATGTCACTTTCGGTCTTGGAGACTTTAGGTCTCTTGGTCATTTCTTCCAGACCAGGGGCCTGTTGCTAGAAGCTGTATTGACTCATTCAGAGTAAGGTGCGTTTATAACAAACAGAGAAATCCTTTAGTCTGTGCTAATAAGATATACCCAATTTTTTTAATGAGTTCACAAAAATGCTTATTACTACATACAAGTTTGATTACTACAAATTTGAGCACATTGATTCAGCGGTGTATGAAATCAGGCCGTATAAAAGTGCTGAGTAGAGACTTACTGCTAATTTACACATCACGCGTTACAGCACGTACGCGTTATACGCGCAGCAGACGCGCGTAACTTTATTCCATGTTAACCTATGATGATATTTACACTTCTAGCGTTATACGCGCGTATGACGGACGTTTGACGCGAAGCTGCGCTCTAATTTAGGATGAATTTCAAATTTTGTGCGCGCACCAACGCGTCTCCCATTGAAATCTCATGTAAAACTTTATTTTTCTAGCGGTCCTTGGCTCTAGATCGCATCTACACACACACTGCACTTGTGTCTAAACATCAGCAGGAGGAGCAGCAGGTTTTACAGTGATTCTGGACATCGTTTTTTTCCTTCATAAAGTCTGGCGTCTGGCCAAACCAGCGCACAGAGACCATGAGGACAAACACATGCATGTGATTTGTGTTGCTCTACATCAGTCCTCTGGCTCGTACTGTCCTCTACACTGCTCCATAGACTACACAGGGAGAGCATCAGAAGACGCGGACCTGCGCGCACGGTCAGTGTAGATACTCCAAAAAAATGTTACGCGCAGAGAGCGCGCAGTAAACGCGTACGCGCTGTTTACGCCTACTGTGTAAATTCCCCGTTAGCGTGACGCCCGCTCTCCTCCAATCACAGAACCAGGAGTGGCGCTGTTATGAACACGCTGCGTCCTCTAGCCTCTACAACGCTGATTAACACAGTAGCATGTTAGCATAAGTGGCTATACCTGCACACACAGCAAAACAGTCCAAACGACACAACAGTGAGGAAGAGAAAAGGGAACTAAAGCCAAAAAATTATCAAAGAAGAAATCAAGCCATATAGCTAGCTTACATTGTATCCTCTGGAGAAACTTACAGTCTATGGGAGACCTGCGGGACTGCCTCGGACTATCTATGCTCGGACTATTTTGTTAGCAGTGTGTTGCTTTTGTACCATTTCATCAGTGATTGTTGTACAGCTTAAGTTGCGCTAGTGATAATGTTTGCTAATGTATCAGATTGCAAATAAAAAGAGATGGCTCTGTGGGAGGAGAGCGTAGGGGAAATGAGAAGCCTGTGAGCGAGTTGGGGGCGGTGCTAAACATTCAAGCCTTACAGAAACGGGTGTAGCTCCTTTAAAGGATTCAGTATGTCCTCGGTGGTCAGCAGTGGGACATACACCCTTTGCGTAAAGTAATATTTTACCCTTTGGGCCGATCGAATATTTACCTCCCAGCCTCAGCTCCAGTCTCTCGCTCTCGGAGGAGAAGTTGTGGTTGAACACCTGTAGGTGGTAAACACAGGTGTAGTCTCCTTTGTGGGCGGGGCCAGTGTGGTTGAACAGGAAGTGTGTAGAGTGATTGACAGCAGGCAGGGTTTGGTTCCCAGTGGGAGAGAGCAGCTGGAAGGAGCCTCCTGAGAACTGAGGCTTCACCGAGCACTGGACCAGGAACTGAGACCCCAACAGGACCCTGACGGCATGGACCTGGGTCTGGGTCTGGCCTTGAGCCTGGGTTTGCGACTGGGTCTCGACCTGGGATACGCCAACACTCACAGAGAGGGACAGGATTGGACGATTCAGTAAATCTGTGGAGAGATATGATTGGACGATTGAACACTTCCTAAAATATTGGTATTTGGACTCATCTCCTACTTATCCTCAATCTAGTCCTTTACAAATGATGGGACCCGCCTCTTATACAAATTGTGCATTGAGTCGGAATCTGCTAAAGATTTTTTAAAAAGTTACTTAAAATAAATACTTGACATTGAACGCACTTTACCTCAGATGAAAGGTTCCAGTTTGCAAACCTGCTCAAGTCTGAGGCTTGTCCCAGAGACGGACTGTGTGTGCATCAGGTGAAAACAAACAAGCAGTTTGTCCCGATGCATAGGTCTGTCGTGCCAGTGCCCATGGATGTAATATACTGTATGTAAGTCGTCAAGCGGTTTTCCGCATCTTCTGTTGTTGCAGCGTTCTGACTCCGGAGCAACTGCGGCTGCCAGCCGTAACGTGACCATAATGTGACCAGCGCGGACCATCGACGCGGACCATCCACACGGACAGGAGCAAGTGCCTGTCTTTGCTTAACCTGTGCACGCAATAAATACGTTGCTCATGTCCGTGTCTCCTCCTGAGTCTCCTCTTGTGTCTCCTCCTGAAACACTGGAACCAAAACTCACAAAATTAAAGCTGGGGTACCTAAATTTACCCTTGCATGAATAATTCAGGTTGGTAACTTAAAACAACTGTCAAAGACAAAATAATCAGAGATATCAAAGAGACAATTGTTGCTATTTATTTATTTTGTTTTCTTGGAGTATTTTTGGTAAACTGAGACTGATATATTTAAAGGACGACTAAACACCGGTGCCCAGCCTGAATCCGCCTACATGAACATATAAATATTCTTTCTAAAAAGGCAGATGCTTGAGGACCACGGGACAAGAAGGGGGGCTGAGAGTTGGGCGTGGTCTGCGCTGTGATTGACAGCTCACTTGTCACTCAAACAAAAAACAGAAAGTAGTCATTGCTGCTTAAATAGTTTACACACAAAGTCTCATTCCTTTGTTTACACACTAAGATAATTGTAAAGCTACACACCTAAACCTAAGCCACAGAATTATCTCAGCAGTAGTGGTTGTCAACTCATGTAATTTAATTTTAATCCACTAGATGGCGCCAGACTACACCAACCTGCTGCTGGAGTGTGTGAGAGTTGGATGGGTTTATATCACTGGCACAGACAGACGCAAGTCACACATCACTCCAGGGTCAATGGAGAGGCCAGGACCAAAATTCAAATGTAGTACCACCAAAAAGGTAGAGAGGGCGCCACACAGACGGTTTTAGGCTCAAAACTGAGATTTTATCTAATTTGCACTAAAATGTCGAAGAAATTACCAGAATATGTAGAGAGCACAACAATAAACATATTTATGTTTAATCTAACAGGGCGGCACAGTGGCTGAGGGAATAGTACTCTTGTTTCTCAGCAAGAAGGTCCTGGGTTCGAAGCCCGGTCGGAACAGGTTCTTTCTGAGTGGGGTTTGCATGTTCTCCCTGTGTTTGTGTAGGTGTCCTGCAGGTGATTTCACTAGGACTTTAACATCAGTGACTCATGATTTCACTTGGACTTTAACATTAGTGACTCATGATTTCACTTGGACTTTAACATTAGTGACTCATGATTTCACTTGGACTTTAACATTAGTGACTCATGATTTCACTTGGACTTTAACATCAGTGACTCATGATTTCACTTGGACTTTAACATCAGTGACTCTGACTTTCACTTGGACTTTAACATCAGTGACTCATGATTTCACTTGGACTTTAACATCAGTGACTCTGACTTTCACTTGGACTTTAACATCAGTGACTCTGACTTTCACTTGGACTTTAACATCAGTGACTCATGATTTCACTTGGACTTTAACATCAGTGACTCTGACTTTCACTTGGACTTTAACATCAGTGACTCTGACTTTCACTTGGACTTTAACATCAGTGACTCATGATTTCACTTGGACTTTAACATCAGTGACTCTGACTTTCACTTGGACTTTAACATCAGTGACTCTGACTTTCACTTGGACTTTAACATCAGTGACTCTGACTTTCACTTGGACTTGACCCTTTTGACTTAAAGATTTGCTACTTTCCTCGAACCCAAAGATTAAAAAGTTTGTTCCCACGACACTTATCGCTCTTTCTCCCTTTGCACCTGTGTGTACCTGTGTGCACCTGTGTACCTGTGTGTACATGTGTGCACCTGTGTGTACCTCTGTGCACCTGTGTTCACCTGTGTGCACCTGTGTTCACCTGTGTGCACCTGTGTGTACCTGTGTGCACCTGTGTACCTGTGTGTACATGTGTGCACCTGTGTGTACCTGTGTGCACCTGTGTGTACCTGTGTGCACCTGTGTTCACCTGTGTGCACCTGTGTGTACCTGTGTGCACCTGTGTGTACCTGTGTGCATCTGTGTGCACCTGTGTGTACCTGTGTGCGTGAGTCACGCAGCGTGAAGTGTGAATGGCACGACATCCAATCAAATTGGATCCACGTTGTTTGGACCTGATCCAACCAATCAGAGACGAGACGACCAATAAAGAGGAACAAACTAAACGCAAAAATGATACCAAAGGGAGTTTCGTTTGGGAACAAGAAACTATTAGCCTGACTCCCGCCAGCCGCTTGTAAAGCTGCGCATCTCACAAGAATCTGGGACTCCTTCATAGCAGTTGGATTTCAGAAGGCAGGGCCTTGTAAAAAAAATCCTTGTATGTGATTGGATAAACCACTTGTCCGTTATCTTGAATGACGTCTTCCTTTAACCACTCGCATCGAAGCACACGACTTCCATGGGTTGCCAAATGCCGGCAAGATTTTCCAGCCCAAAATTTTTTTTGGCTAAAAACGTAATTTAATCAACTTGGGCTATCATGATTCTGTTTATTGTCTTTCTGTTTATTTATTACCTACAAGTTTCTTGGAAAAAAGTATGCGGGAAACCACCCAACCTGGCAACCCTGCTGCATAGTGTTGTAAACAGGAACTCTTAAACTACTGCTTAAATCAAACTTTACACGAACATTTGACTCTTAAAACACACATATATCAACATAGAACCATCAACATCTCGCCTCATCTCATATTGCACATCTGTGTCTTAATTTGTTCGTATTTAAACTTTTAAAAAGATTTGCGGACTTTATGTCCGCCATTTTGGATTGCGTTCGGTGCTGTGTGAGACCAGCTTGAGAATGCGGCGCAAACACGACATAACACTGGCGATCCTGATTGGTCGATTATTTTCTGATCTGCTGAAGGAGTTTGGTATGCGCTTGATCCCAGACCCTTGTGTTCAGCCAAACGCCTCTGGTGGAGCATGGTGGAACTACACGGGTCTGGCAGAGCCAGGCTAAGAAACTATGAGGTGACGAACAAAAAAGAATTGCAGTTTGTAAATCATGTGGGGGCAAGATTACAGACGGAGACGCGACAAATAAAAACTTAAAAGGACTAAAGGACTCGAAACTCAAACAATAGGACTTGGGACTAGACTTGCAAAACAAAGACTTGGTCCCACCTCTGGTCTATTTGTTGTTTTTATGCAGTTTGGCCTTTATTAAGTAGAAAAAGCCCCAAAATGGCAATTCAATTTATGTTTGCAATATTATTGTTTATCGCAAACATTTCTAGGACAATTTATTGTCAAGGAAAATGTGTTATTGTGACAGGCCTAGACCTGGAGTCCAAGGTTGCTCTTGCATCAGAAGACGGTTGAGCCTCCTCGGCTGAGTCTGAATCCAAACGCCTGGGCTACAAGTCTTCTAAACTTTCACTACTCTACATTGTGTGTGTGTGTGTGTGTGTGTGTGTGTGTGTGTGTGTGTGTGTGTGTGTGTGTGTGTGTGTGTGTGTGTGTGTGTGTGTGTGTGTGTGTGTGTGTGTGTGTTAAAGAGTCATACCTGAACACACCACCTTCACTTTGGACGTAAAGTATGATGCTGTGCCTACACACTGTCTCACTGTAGACGCTGTCATACAGTCGGGGAACACCAGCCACCCTCCCTCTGTTCCATCTTTGATCTTTTCTTCAGACACGGCAGACCCACAGTCCAGCTCTTTGCACACCGTTTCTGTTTGCTTGGGGATCCAGTTTCCAAATGGGCTCTCCACTTTTCTCCACTCTCCTTTATGTCTGAGCTCCACTGTCCCAGCACAGCGACTGGCCCCTCCTACCAGCCGGAGCGGCTCTGGATGAAAGAGACATGCATTATGGGGCGTGCATATTCTCTAATTTTCAGACGCAGGGGTGTTCAGACCAGAAGTCCTGGCCTGCGATGGTGCCCGCCGGAAGTGGCGGATGTAGCAGACGGACTTTGATGCCAACGGAGTTAAGCTAGCGGCTTTTTGTGTAAAAATACAAAAATCCTTCATCTTGTTATTGTTCCCCCAGACTCAAACTCCACCATCACACCCTCCTGAAAAAACCCGGCCCTGGACCCAAAAAAACGCTGGACAACTTCAGACCCATCTCCAACCTCCCACTCTGTCAAAAATACTGGGTAACACGCCATCATCTCCCAACTCCAGCAATATTTAATCAACTCCTCACTATTCGAAAATTTCAATCTGGTTTTCGCCCCCCCCACCATTGCCACAGAAAACAGCTACTCTCCATCCTCATCCTCCTGGACTCAGGTTGCAGTGTTGACACAATCACCACAGCATCCTTCTCCACCGCCTCCAGGTCTCGGCATCTCCGGCAGGCATCTCTCCCTGGTTCTCCTCTACCTCACTGAGACCGTCACACTACGTCTCAATAAAAAATGTCAAGTCCCACTACCTCCCCTGTCTCCACTGGCATTCCCAAGGTTCGTTTACTCTGCCCCCTCCTCTTCAACATTTCATCCTTCCCCCTTGGGTCGCATCATTCATCTCCATGTACTTAATTTCCACTGCTACGCCGACAAAACGCAGGTTCTACATTGTCCACAAAATCCATTCACCCCCGGTCATCCTCTCCAACGATTGCATTTCTGTACATTCAAAACATGGCTGGACTACAATTTTCTCAAACTAAACAGCAATAAAACAGAATCTCATTCTCATCGGACCCAAATCCCTCCTCCGCTCTTGCCCAGAACATCTCCCTCACCATCACGGGCCACTCTGTCTGTGTGCGCAACCTTGGCGCCTTATACTGACTCCACGTTACATTCAAACCACACAAAAAAACGATCACCACACTTCTTCACCTTCGCAAAATCGCCCGGTCCACCGCCCGCTACAAATAAACTTTTTCTATGTCTGGATCTTTACAACAACCTAACAAATTAGTAATAATAGTAATAATATTAGAATGATGAGGTCTTACCTGCCGCATGATGCACTGCAGGATCCCTCTCATCAGCTTCACCACGCTCTGAAAACACACTCAGACATTACTTCATTATACTTACTATATACTGGTTACGTTAAATACTTCATACTATACATATTATGCATGCTATGTATTTACTATACATACTATGCGTACTATATATACTATAAATACTATATACATTCTACATACTATACATACTATATACATTCTACATACTCCATCCATCCATCCATTTTCTACCCTTTAATCCATTTCTGGGTCAGGGGGGGTGGCAGTCAGAGATGCCACCCAAGTCTCATAGCACCAGCCCCTCACTGACCCTGTGCAGGTGGTGAGTCCACAGGAGGACGGCTGCTCTCTGAGTGTGAGCATAGCCTTGATCTTTCAGTGGGGGCTTTGGGCAAAGTGGGGTTAAGTGTCTTGCCCAAGAACACAACGACAGCAGTCATCAGTGGGAGTCGGTGGAGAAGGTGCAGAGGTGGGAATTGAACCCACGACCTTCTGGACCCACGACCTTCTGGGTCGTGGGTCCTACTATACATACTATATACATTCTACATACTATACATACTATGCATACTATAGACCAGATGCATCAACGTCATCCAGTCACGTGATTGTGAATGAGCTTACGGCGGAAGTATTGGAAACTAGCATTGCTGCGAGAGCAAAACGGACACAACTCTTAAAAACGGAGCTTCCTCTCCTAAATCGAGAAGTGGCTGCTTCAAGCACATGTTCGATTACGTTATAGGTGGAAGTAGGACATCAGGTCAGGACTCACAAAGAGTGGTATTTGGAGAAGTTAAGGATTGCCTAACTGGATGTTGACCCGTACCTTCTCCCCACAGTCAATTTTATCGATTAAATAAAATGTCTATTTTTGCCCAAATTCACCCTACATGATCTTTATCATTATCGTTAACAATGCATCCCCTCACACTGGAGCAGATTTATTTGTACATTTTGCTGGTAGCATTAGCAATAGTCCACTTTTCTGTGGCTTTTCTGTCTACAGCCAAACATGATACGTACTGACGGAGAGGAAAATAGTGAAACACGCAATTGACTTAAAAGATAAAAATGTCAATGTTGCAGCGCACATACAGGACAGTAGTAAGAGACACGTTTGACATGTGTCATTGTCCTCCAAATTAATGGAAATAAAATAAATACAAACTTGTGATTGCTTTATTTTGTAACAAGTGTTCACTGCATATTAGGGAGTACTTGGACGGGTCCCAGTCCTTTTGGTTGATTGCCGCTGGCCATTGTCGTCTTCTGTCTTCATGACGAGCAGGTATCAGATAAAAAAGCTTATGTCCTTGCCTGTTAGTATAATCAACCGCACTGCAAAATGTCACAGTTGTGGCTGTAATGCGCTGAAACAGGTTGTTTTGGTCAGGTGTCCGTAGGCTCGCAGTTAGACTTCTGCCGTCTGTCATGGAGAGTGGGCGTGGCCGTGACGTCACATGCATGGGGTCAATAAAATACACATACTATATACTGTACTATACATCCTGCTGTTATTCTCTAACTGCACCATTTGCAGGTGTTGAACAGAAACAGAAATTATTTATCTCAATATTTGTTTAAAATGGTTCAGCTCGAGCCCTTGGTCCCCGGATGAGCTGGAGGAGGTGTGTGTGGATAGGGAGGTCTGGGTGTCTCTGCTCGGACCCAAAAACAGATGAAGCGGAAGAAAATGGAATGGTGCGTCCCGAGCAGTTGGTGACCTGTGTATGGCTCACCTAAAGAGGCTGAAGTGTAGAACTGCAGATCTTCTTCTACATGCATCACTTTAGAATGTCCAAAGTCGCTCTGAAACTGTTATTTTGTGTTTTACAATAATCATTTTTCTTGACTTTCTACCTGTGAATGTTACTACAGTACAGTATTCATGGTTTTACACTGCTCCAGACCACAGCAGAAAGGAGAGTCCTAAACAGATCAAGCCAAAATCCACTGGAGGAATGCTAATTTTTTACAGATTTTTTTAAATAAAGCATTCAGAATTTCACTCTGAACCAGAGCAGAGAAAATGGTCTGAACCAAGCAGCTCATCACCTGCTGCTGGGACCTAAAGCACTTTATTACTATTGTTAGTACCTTTTAGAATTATGTATTTATCTGTTTGTTTGGATGGATATGTTTTTGCTGCTACTGGACGCCTACAATTTCTCCGACGGGGATCGATAAAGTATCTGTCAATCCATCTATCTACCTCAAATGAGAACTCACTAAAACAAATGTCAGCCCGTAAACATCCTCCTATTCTCATTTTAAAGTTAAAATCCGAAGCTAAGAGCAGGTTTGTCCAAACTCCGGCCCACGAGCCACATGCGGCCACAAAACACATGATCTCGGCCTCCTCTCTGAATCGGCCGATATCAGTCTGAGAAGTTTGGTTTTGATAATATTACATCCCAAACAGTTAGTGATGTTCAACGGCTCTGTGTGTTATTTATCACTGCATGTTACAATTGTTTGATTCTCTGATCTGTTTTGGCGAATCGACAACTTTGGGATGTTGTTGTGCGAACCTGCTCCAGCTCGTAGGCCTTGGCTTTGTCCTCGTCTCGGTCGGCGTTCTTCCTGTACGCCAGACTCAGCGCCCAGACCGACACCACGCTGTAAACGTTATCTCTGACCCAGGCATGAGGCTGCTCCGGGGAGCCAGGGAGGAGGCCTGTCACGGGGTCCTGAGGAGAGAGGAGGAGAGAGGAGGGTCAACCAGAGGAGGAGGAGAGAGGAGGGTCAACCAGAGGAGGAGGAGAGAGGAGGAGAGAGGAGGAGAGAGGAAGGTCAACCAGAGGAGGAGGAAAGGAGGAGGGAGAGAGGAGGGTCAACCAGAGGAGGAGGAGAGAGGAGGAGAGAGGAGGAGAGAGGAGGAGAGAGGAAGGTCAACCAGAGGAGGAGGAAAGGAGGAGGGAGAGAGGAGGGTCAACCAGAGGAGGAGGAGAGAGGAGGAGAGAGGAGGGTCAACCAGAGGAGGAGGAGGAGAGGAGGGTCAACCAGAGGAGGAGGAGAGAGAAGGGTCAACCGAGGAGGAGGAGAGAGGAGGGTCAACCAGAGGAGGAGGAGGAGAGAGAAGGGTCAACCGAGGAGGAGGAGAGAGGAGGAGAGAGGAGGGTCAACCAGAGGAGGAGGAGAGAGGAGGAGAGAGGAGGGTCAACCAGAGGAGGAGGAAAGGAGGAGGGAGAGAGGAGGGTCAACCAGAGGAGGAGGAAAGGAGGAGGAAGAGAGGAGGGTCAACCAGAGGAGGAGGAGAGGAGGAGGAGGAGGGTCAACCAGAGGAGGAGGAGAGAGGAGGGTCAACCAGAGGAGGAGGAGGAGGAGGGTCAACCAGAGGAGGAGGAGAGAGGAGGGTCAACCATAGGAGGAGGAGAGAGGAGGGTCAACCAGAGGAAGAGGAGAGAGGAGGGTCAACCAGAGAATAAAATATTTGCAACTAAAATGAAGCAAAAATAAATAAGATCTGTATAGTCTAGTGCAGCCATTCCCAAACTCAGTAACACCGAGGCCCCCTTAAAACGGGTCTGCGTGGCCCCCCCAAAATAATAACCAAGAAGACAACATTAAGAATAGGCTCTTCTGGTTATTTTATTTTGGGGAAATAGCCTCTGCTACAAACATTGTAATACAAAAATGATTACAGTGGATTATTCAAGTCAAATAATGAACACAAATATTTTAATATTACAAACAAAACATTATAAATTTAACATTAAATAATTATATTATTTTTTTATTTTTTTTATGACCTCCCGCGGCCCCCCTGCAGTACCCTCGCGGCCCACCAGGGGTCCGCGGACCCCACTTTGGGAGACACTGGTCTAGTGCAAGACATATTTGGTTGTGAATAAGTGAAGTGATAGTGAACACATGAGGTTCTATAGACCAAATTAAAGGAGCACTCTGTAAAAATGTGGCCAAAAGTGGTACTGCAGCCTCTCCCACTCTCCCTGACTCAGGTTGCCAGATATGCAGACGAATCCAGCTGGGACCATAACAGCTGAATTGACAAGTTTTATCAACAACAAATCTATAACCAACACCGTTTTCACAAAGAAATCCTGGTTTTATTCCTTGTTTTGTCGTTAATGATTTGAGAATCATAACGAGACCTTTTTTAGTTCTGCGCCACATGGTACTTTACCAGTGAGATTAGCTCGACACGGTGAGTTCTGGCAACCCGGATCACGGACTTTCTGATTGGTGAAACAGTGGAGGGCGGGACATCGAAATGAAAACAATAACAAGATTTAGGGGCTGGAAAACTCTTAAAATTCAAATATCTCTGAACTATTGTTATCAGTTAAAGAAGTATTTGAAAAGAGCATGTTTAATTAATGCCTTTGACAGATTAGGGCCCTTTAATGATGACATGACATGAAAATCTTACATATTGCTACTTCTACTATGACCACTGTCTCTTCTTCTGCGTCTACAGCCGAATACGTCCAAATATGACGTCACGGGTCGTACGTCAGTCACTTCGCTGCACACTGTGGTCATATTACGCAAGGACCCTTACCCCATGTCCGAGCACTACAGTCTGTGGTCCGAACCGCCGCGACATTCACAGACAGTCACTCACACGCACTTTACTGAACTATAAACATCTGAAAGAACCATGAAGAGCAGCTGAGGCTCACCTGGTGTTTGAGAATGGTCTGCTGCACCATGCGAGCGTAGTTGTCCAGCTTCACCCCGGAGTTGCTGCGGCTCCTCATGGTTCCCGTGTGTCTAGTTTTATGTCCGGTTATAACTTTCTATGCATTTCTGGAGTGGTTTTCTGCGGTGAAAGTGGCAAAAAGCTGAAATATCAAAGCTGAGTGTGTCTGCAGCGGTGTGTGGGAGGTAACACAAGAGTCCCGGAGGACACGGACTTTCAAAATAAAAGTATTTGCAAAGTGAAATGTCAAAGAGCAAAAAACAAAACGCAAACTTTACTGGATAATGACTAGAATATAGAGACTGTGACTATTAGAGCTGTGCAGATAGAAATCACTGCTGTTAGAGGAGATGAGGTCATTCTCGCTTTTACTCTGGTTGGATTGTGTTTGTTAAAACCCTGTTTAAAACAAGAAATGTATTGTGTTTAAACATTTAAACTATTTCAAAAATAAATAAATATTTTTCCAAGGGATATCCACCATAGTGGATCCGATACCTTTAAAATTAGGTATTATTATGATTAATCATAATAATAATATTTTTTTTTTTTTTGCACATAATTATATCCTGCACAGACATTATTTTTAACCTGAACATGTTGCACACTTCTGTCTTTTGCACAATCTGAGAGATTCTATCCATGCCAAATGTGACATTTCTCCATTGAGAGATCAATAAAGTTTATCTTATCTTAATAATAATCTTTATTTCAGACTTAAATTCCATTGGTCCATCTTTCAAAAGAATATAAAAAGAGAATATACTGTATTTAAACATTTTTTTTGGTTTTTTTTTTATTTTTTTTATTTCATTCATTTAAAAACAAATGCAACAACAGCATTTAGCATAAACATCTTATGGGAGAGTGTTTCAGTGCCTTTTCAAAGCAGTGGAGGGACCAGGCCGCTGTGAGTCTGAGTGATTTTATTAATTCGAGCAGAAATGATACATTCATTAGTACTGCAGAAGATGACAAAGTCTGGGATCGTGTCATAAATTCAGACAGAAGACATGTTTTATTGTCAATGGTAGAGACAGCACGAGCACAGATACAATAGAATGCAAGTGTATTATACAGAGCGGAGGCATGGAGACCTCCAATCAGCAGCTGCCACAGTGCCATGTAGCTTGGCCTTCAGATAGACAAAACAAGGGAAAAGTACTGGCTTCTGCACATTGATAGAATGATGAGTTTAACTTCAACAAAAGTTGCTTAAAAGTGTTATGAAATCTCACATTCCCCCCTCTGGTCACACATTCTCGTGTCACCATCAGGATCGATAAACAGCAACATAACATCATAACTCAATACTTCAAAAACTCATAAACTCTGTACTTCACTCGGTACTTCAAAAACTCAGAACTCAGAATACTTCAAAAACTCATAAAACTCATAAAACATGTTCAGATCTTTCATAAAACTTGTCAACAATCTTCAGTAAAATACCAAACTTCATCAGTCGATGGTGGTTCCAGATATTGCTTTGAAAACAGTCTCTCCCACTTCTCCGTGTTGGTTTCTTCAGGCTGCATTTGTGTCGAGCCATGAATTCTTCTGTGACGTGTCTTTCAATCATACGTTTCAGCTTCAGTGTCCAGATTCAGCAATTCAATTCAGTCCAAATTATGTCCAAATTCAGAAATCCAATTGTTCCAAATGATGTCCATGCAAACGAGGACGATGGTATTGTCCATGTCTCAGCAGCTCACAGCCTGAGTGGAATCAGGGGCTGTGCAGATTGTCCATGTGCTGGTCCAGATGCATGGGTTCTCTTCAGGTTTCTCAGTTTTGGCTTAAAAAAAAAACACATTTTTGTTTAAAAAAAAAAAAGTAGTCTTCTGTTCTCTAGATGTTACAGACAAGGCCCGCATCCTCCACCATCTGAAGAAGATGACATAGTCTGGGATCGTGTCTTAAATTCAGACAGAAGACATGTTTTATTGTCGATGGTAGAGACAGCACGAACAACAGATACAACAGAATGCAAGTGTATTATACAGAGCGGAGGCATGGAGACCTCCAATCAGCAGCTGCCACAGTGCCATGTAGCTTGGCCTTCAGATAGACAAAACAAGGGAAAAGTACTGGCTTCTGCACATTGATAGAATGATGAGTTTAACTTCAACAAAAGTTGCTTCAAAGTGTTATGAAATCTCACAGTACTTACAATATTACTTTGTTTATGGAGGTGATTTTGTGCATTGTTATGTTGCTACCGCACTAATAGTACTGTACATACAGTACAGACCAAAAGTTTGGACACACCCACCCATCTCAAGAGTTTTTTTTTATCTTCATGACTATCAAAATTATAGATTCACACTGAAGGCCTCAAAACTATGAATAAACACATGTGGAATTATGTACGTACCTAAAAAGTATGAAACAACTGAAAATATGTATGTTATATTCTGGGTTCTTCAAAGTAGCACCTTTTGCTCTGATACTGCTTCACTCTTGGCATTCTCTTGATGAGCTTCAAGAGGACCTGAAATGGTCTTCAACAGTCTTGAAGGAGTTCCCAGAGATGCTTAGCACTTGTTGGCCCTTGTTCATTCTGTGGTTCAGCCCCAAAACCATCTGGAGTGGGTTCAGGTCCGGTGACTGTAGAGGTCATGTGGCCCAGCACCATCACTCACCTTATTGGTCAAACAGCCCTCACACAGCCTGGTGTGGGTCTACAGACAATAGTCATGAAGAGAAAGGACACTCATACCCACAGCTCATGACCATAGGTGAGGGAGGGAACGAAGATTGACCGGTAAATCGAGAGCTTTGCCTTTTGGCTCAGCTCCCTCTTCACCACGACGGTCCGATACAGCGACCGCATCACTGGCCAACCCAGGCCTGCCCATCCCAGGCCAGTCCAACCCAGGCCAGACCAACCCAGGCCAGTCCATCCCAGGCCAGCACGCTGACTAATCTTTGTTAGTTAGATCACTTTAGAACCAGCTCGGCCTAGATAGAACCAGCCAAGCAAGTACTAATACAGCACCTGGTACCGATCAAACAGTGCCGGTGGAAACGCTCCCCCCGATGAGCTGGAGGAGGTTTGTGGATGGAGCATTCAGGGCGTCTCTGCTTAGACTGCTGGAGTCCATCAGGGAGGGCGTGGGGACTGTGGTCTTCCTGAAGTCCACAATCATCTCCACTGTCTTCTGGGCGTTCAGCTCCAGGTCGTTACCACTGCACCAGGACACCAGCCGGTCCACCTCCTCCTGTAACACACTTATTGTTGATGGAAATGAGACCAATGAAGGTGATGTCGTCTGTAAACTTGAGTTGTGGCTGGAGGTGCAGTGATCGGTGTTCAGGGAGAAGATTATGGGAGAAAGAACACACCCCTGTGGAGATCCTGTGATTGTAATCTGTGTGTCCGAGACATTCTTCCCCAGACGCACACTGCCTCCATCAGGGTGACAGGGATTCAGCTGCAGGGGGGGTCGGGCTCGATAAGCTGGGAAAACTGATCCTGGAGCAGGGATGTAGGATGGTGTGGAAGGCAGTCCACAAACAGAACCGTGGCCCAGATTCTCAAGGAGGCAGATCTTAATGCACTTTACACAGCATTTCTGCACTTTTTATTGTATTCTTATTTTATTGTGTTTATGGATTTTCATGAATTCCCTCACACTCTGTCTGCAAATTAAATTCTTCACAGATAAATCAAGTTTTTTTTTTAAAAGCCACCACAATATTCTTACGTCTTAAAGTCCACAACAGCATGTTTTTGTTACCACTTTTATACACTACACATATACGGATTGTTCCAGGAACAAGACTAAACTAAGATTAGCACCCCGTTATTATTATAGATCCATGTTAGCACCTGACACTTTTGATTCTTACCAGAGTTACCAGAATAGATGTTTCAGCTTCCCTCCACCATATTGTGGAACTAAAGATTCCTTGGAAGGTGCTTATGTCTCATGAACACAAACCATACTTCTCTGCAAGATTACGCTGATCTTTCTTGTCCTTGCTGTTTGGGCATACGATCATGTCTAGGTAGATTTGCAGTGATGCCATTATCTGTCCCAGAACAGATGCTCTGTGAGATGTTCAAAGCTTGGGAAATGTTTGACTTTAACCTGACCAGGCTTAAACTTCCTAATTTCTGCTCTGGTGTTGTGATGTCACATGAACACAATCCATTGCAAGTATTTATTTGTATTTTCTTTTTACTTTACTTACTATGGAAACTAGAAACACCCTTGTTTGTAAATTCAAACGAGAAGACTACATTTTCATATACTAATTTTCTTTTTTGAGGAATGGGTCTATACTTCTCACCAAACAATACTTTTTAACCAAAATAAAATGTGACTAATACTTTTCATTTTTACTTCAATCGTAAACCTTAACGTGCAAATTGCAAAAACTACATTACCCAAAAGTCCATTGGCTCCCTTTGCATCTCACTGAGAGAACCCTTGCGCAAAAACTCGTACTTAAACTGTATTTTTCTGCATTTACCTAAAATTTGATACATATAAAATCATGGTACGTCTTTAGAGTATTATTCCAAGTATTACATTTGCTCATAATGTCACGGAGCTGCTTACTTCATTATCTTATTGGCCGGAACTATGGCGTGCACGACTGTTGCTGCCACCCGAAGCCATTATGATGTGACACACATTCAAAGCACTCACACTTTTCCCTTTTTCCTGTAAAATCTTTAATATTTGAGTTTTTTCCCGTGTTTCTTCTCCGTAAATGAGTGTAAATGAGTGTGGGGGCCCACGGCACAGACAGCAGCTCCTCTCCCCGCAGGGTCTGTTATGTTTACAGCCCTGGGTACGTGGAGAAATGCGACAGTTTGTCCAAAGTCCCGAACCGGGTAAAGTCCGCGCAGTTTTTGGGCTTAAACTTCAAAAGATCAATTGATGTTATTTTTATGTTATTTGTTGTCTGTGTGTTTCAGGCGAGTATGGTGCATTCCCTGATAGAAGCCTACGGCCTGCTTCCACACATGAGGTCTGTATTGTTGTAATAACACCTTTTTCAGCCAATAACACGTTTATAACTGCATTTCCTGTGAGTACTGAATTGCATTTCGCCCATGAAGACATCATTGCTTTGCGTGTATGTTTATCAATGATATTGTGTTAAAATCTACAATGTTAACGCATAAAGTTAGTGATAAAGTCAATGCCACTAGCTCCTGGCTCGAAAAAAACCTATTTCGTGTGCTTCTATCACTAGTTTTCTCATGCATGTGTTTTTGGCCTATGTTACATCTTGAGATCAACATTTTTCAGACAGAAAAGTTAGAATTAAAATAGATGGAGGGCCGCCATCTCTCCAGCCAAACTGCTCTCAAGTCAAATTGTGACTCAGATTCAGATGTTTTCTCATAAGATGTCTGCAGCTGAAAATAATTTCGCATTCCAAACCAAACCATGACATTTAACTCTCTCTGTGCGTGTTGTTAGAGTCCTGGAGCCCGCTGTAGCCACGACAGAAGAAATGGCAAAGTTCCACAGCGACTCGTACCTGGAGCATCTGCAGAAGATCAGCGAGGAGGGAGACACGGACGACCCACTGTCTGCAGACTATGGACTCGGTGAGACCCACGGAGAGGACTTAGGACACGCTGGAGGGACCTGTCTCTCTGAGGTGGAGTCTCTCTGAGGTGGAGTCTCTCTGAGGTGGAGTCTCTCTGAGGTGGAGTCTCTCTGAGGTGGAGTCTCTCTGAGGTGGAGTCTCTCTGAGGACCTGTCTCTCTGAGGTGGAGTCTCTCTGAGGTGGAGTCTCTCTGAGGTGGAGTCTCTCTGAGGTGGAGTCTCTCTGAGGTGGAGTCTCTCTGAGGTGGAGTCTCTCTGAGGACCTGTCTCTCTGAGGTCGAGTCTCTCTGAGGTGGAGTCTCTCTGAGGTGGAGTCTCTCTGAGGTGGAGTCTCTCTGAGGTTGAGTCCCTCTGAGGTCGAGTCCCTCTGAGGTCGAGTCCCTCTGAGGTCGAGTCCCTCTGAGGTCGAGTCCCTCTGAGGTCGAGTCCCTCTGAGGTCGAGTCCCTCTGAGGTCGAGTCCCTCTGAGGTCGAGTCTCTCTGAGGTCTTGTCTCTCTGAGCTCTTGTCTTTCTGAGGTCGAGGTCTTGTCTCTCTGAGGTCGAGTCTCTCTGAGGTCGAGTCTCTCTGAGGTCGAGTCTCTGAGGTCAAGTCTCTCTGAGGTCGAGTCTCTCTGAGGTCGAGTCTCTGAGGTCGAGTCTCTGATGTCGAGTCTCTCTGAGGTCGAGTCTCTGATGTCGAGTCTCTCTGAGGTCGAGTCTCTGATGTCGAGTCTTTCTAAGGTCGAGTCTCTCAGAGGTAGCATTGAAATTACAATATTACTAAAATATTGTGATATTGTTTGTGTTTTTTTGGCTCAAACATAAAAATAAGCTATTGACACATGTTTTGTTAAATCAACTTCGTTCCTCCTCAGTCACAGACCTGAAGCTGTTTTTAGATCCATCCACGCTAATATCAGGAACATCTGCCACAAACATGTAACCCCCCTCCTGTCTAAACGCTCAGTCTCGGTTCTCTAATGTAATGATGTCATTGTACTACAGTGACACTGTTCATGTTGCACTATATAGTTTGTACTGAAGGTAATATTTTACATTGTCAAACACAAAATCGCAAAGTCATAAGTGGCCCTTTTTAATGGCCAAAAAACATGTATAATATTCCATTGGCATGGATGGCAAACATAATATGTTTTAGTTAAAAACTGAAGACAAATTGATAATCGGCAAAATCAGTTTCAAACAATTGATTGTTATTGTAAATGTCACGAGTTCAGTCAGTTCAAAGCATGACCACCAGAGGGCTCTGAACAGAATTGAGATCTAACCTCTAACATGAACGATGGGCTTCTCCTTGTGCAGGAGCTACAGACTTATATTTCTGTCAATAATTAGCACTAGTATAGCCGTCTGTTATTAGTTATTAATCTAATCACTCATTAAAATAGTTGTCAGTTATTTTAGTAATAGATCTAAAGAGTTCTATGACTGATTCTACAGAAGGGCATGGATCAAACACCCAATGCACATAAGGTATGTATCAAGAGGTTTTCCAGGTGCCTCGCTTGTGCTCGGTTGTATTCCAAATGAAAAGAATGTTTTTTCACCTGAGAAATTCTCTGAGACAGGAGCTTTTAGTCAAAGGGGTAGAGCTACACGTTTCTGCCAGAAGTTTCTCATTGTAGCGTGGATGGATCTAAAAACGACTCCAGGTCTGTGACTGCTGAGGAACAATGATGGAAAATGGAGAAAAGAGAGAAAAAGTCAAGCCAAGTTTTTTTCTTATACCGCTCTTATTTTGACTTGTGCGTTTGTGTGTGTGTGTGTGTGTGTGTGTGTGTGTGTGTGTGTGTGTGTGTGTGTGTGTGTAGAATATGTGTGTTGTGCTCTGGGATCAATAAAGTTTTCTGAATCTGAATCTTATGGTTGTGTTCTCAGGTTACGACTGCCCCATCGTGGAGGGCGTGTATGACTATGCCGCAGCTGTAGGTGGCGCCACCATCACCGCCGCTCAATCTCTGCTCCAACAACAGTGTGACGTGGCCATTAACTGGGCTGGGGGCTGGCACCATGCAAAGAAGTAAGAAACTACTGTGGTGCTTTCCCCGATTATGAATGAAACACTTTTCTCCCTCATCGTTCGAGGTTGTGAAGCAAGTTCTTGTCAAATAAATGTGTAATAACCTCCTCTCCTGACCCGGATCAGAAATCTCCATCCCCAGTTCTCAATAGAGCTGGAAAGTGGTCTCTCGTTTATCACAGAGATACGTTCTAGAAATAAAACTGCAAAAATAGCAACGATATGTTTTAAGGCTGTAAAACCAAACACTTTATACACTTTTCTACCCCCTTAACTCACAACTACTGAAGTTTTATCGCAGAGACATCAAACCTGTTGGTTGAGGGTCTGAGCGCTGCTGCAGCTGTCAAAAGCTGTGCATACACCGTAAAAAAAGGGGCAGGAGCAGGTCTGAGGGCTACGGGAAGATCATGGTGCACACAAGACAAAAAAGTTTCCTTCTGACTTTAAATGTCATGTTTGAAAGCGGTTACATGTTGTTGAAGTATACATAAAAAGTACGCTGTAAAAAACAAAACAAAAAAGCTTGCAAAATTGTACACAAAAAAGTGAGGGACCTCTGTATGGCCCCTTTAACATCAATGCCACTGGCCATTCTTGGGGTAAAAAAGTCTTCGTGTACTCATTCATAATCTCCAAAATCGATTAAATGAATTGAGGGAAAGATACAAATCGTAAAAGCTGCGACCGCTAACTTTGAAAGTGCTGATGGAAGGACCTGATGCTGACGTTAAGCGCAAAGTGACGACTTCGTTCACACAAGCAGTGAAAAGCAGTGGGCCGTACGTCGACCCCTGGGGTACCTCACTTCAGTCTCATAAACAACACATGTAGAGAGAAAAAGAGTCTTGCAAAAATAAAATATGAATCACTGCTACTGATCAGAGCTGAATCTGAAAGCTGATCCACAGATACAAGCCTGTTCCTTCGTGGTGGTTTTAAAGTTAGGTACCCCAGCTTTAAACAACTCGGTTGTGGAACGTGTTTCAATGTGGTCACGGCTTGTGTTCTGCAGAGATGAAGCGTCTGGATTCTGTTACGTGAACGACGCCGTTTTGGGAATCCTCAAATTGAGAGAGAAACACGAGAGGGTGCTGTACGTGGATGTGGACCTGCATCACGGAGACGGTTAATGCATTTTATCATTAACGCACGTTACATGGGTGAACACATTTAACTTATTACAGCAAGTTAAAAAAGTTACTTGAGTGATCATATTTTGAAAAACAATGGCATGCCAAATCTTGGCCCTTGCTTCAATGCAACAAGCTCCGTATTTACAGGCCCAATTTGAAAGATATTTTTTATTTCTGTAATATTTTTATTATAAAGACATGCCAAGAACAACAGACCGACGGACATGACGTCATTTAACCGCATTAATCCAGTGTAACCGGTTCACTGGATTACTTTGGAACTTTGGAAATGTTTTCTTCCTGCTCAGAGAGAATAAAGCTGTAAACGGAGGCAGGATTCTGAGTCACAACTCTGCAGCTGCTGAGACCTGCACCAGACTCGTAGACCTGCGTGCCGATTTGCAGCATCTCATTGGCTAAGAGCAAAGGTGCATTTCTCAGAGGATTTAACCCGTAATATGCCAAGAGTTAGGTTTATTTATAAAATAAATGTGTAACTGCAAAAAATTAATAATTTCGTGATAATCATGCCTGATATTTATGTTTTAATAAGCCATATTTATGTGTGGGTTACACCCTCCCCACTTTGATGGTATGCACGTCCCTGTGCATCTACAAGGCTAACCATAGAGTTTGCAATAGCTTAATTTAAGGAAGCAGATACGGTCTCCACATTCAAGGCCAGGCTTAAAGCACTCTACTTTAATTTAGCATATAATTAGGTAATATATAATATATGGTGTATATATTATATATATATATATATATGCTATGTACTGTGCTATGTTGTATATTATGTTATATATTATGCTGTATGTTATGTTGTGTATTACATATGATATATATGGTATGTATGGTATATATGATGTATATGATATGTGGTACATGATTAGGTTTGCTTGGATCGGTTTGCACACCTGGTGTGCAATCCATGAATCTTGGTGCTGTAACCTAGCCTAGCCGTGGCTGCTGCTGTCTCGCCTCCTTTCAGATACGCTCTCTTTATTCAAGGCTAGGTTTAAAACAGTCCTCTTTAGTTTAGCATATGGATAGGAAGGTAAGACTCAGGGAAGGCTGAACTCCTCAGACTGTCAGTCAAGCTGCATAGGGAGCCCCCTGCTGGAGAAGTATAGTAACTTGAGCACTATCCTCTCCTCCTTCCTACTTTATCTGTTTAGCATTATTAGGATTTTGACTGTAGTTTGTTCATTGCTATTCACCCGTTGTCCCATTGTCTGTTTCATGGTACGATGACGGGATCTCTGAGCCTGGCCTCCTCCATCTACACCTGCGGACTGCCCCGCCTGACCCGCCTGGGAGTGCTTCAGTCCTGCACCGGACCTGTCCACGTTCAGCGGCCACTGGTCCACGTTCTGTAGCTAGCTTAGGTCCTGGATCATTAGCCTGTCCGTCCGGAGGAGCGGATCCCTTTCTCAAATGGGTCTCCCTCCCTGTGGGTTTCCCTAGTTCTCCCCAAGGTTTCTCACTTTTTCCCACTGGGTTTTTTAAGAGTTGTTCCTTGTCGATGCAGGAGGGTCTTGTTGGACAGTTAGTGTCCAACAGAAAGGATTGGTGATGATCAGGACACTTTAGCATTCTACAACATGTATGGACATGTTCTTCTGTGTGTGCTTTATATTCTTCATGTGTTTTAACTGTTGATTCTCTGACCTGTGTTGGTGATTTCAATGGTTTTGTTAAGTCTCTGAGATGACTTCTGTTGTGACCTAGGGCTATACAAGAATAAATTGTATTGTATTGTAACTTCCCGATGATTTCCTGGTCCCGATCCAGTCTGTATGGAGCTCCAAAACCCCTCACCGAGAGATCCTCATCTCGATCAGTGTGTTTAAGCCAATACTCCGTGAAGACAAGAAGACAGGCATTGGTGATCTCCTGTCTCACCGTGGCCCAAGTATCCAGCTCGTCCAGCTTGACACGAAGAGATTGTGCGTTCCCAAGCAGGATGGATGGGAGTGCGGGCATCTGTCGCCGGTCCTGGAGGCCCAAGCGGCCTTCTCGTCTTCCCCTTTTGCGGCGCACCGGTTGAGCCGCCGTTTTGCGAAGCTCCGGTGGGATGTCTGGCGGTGGATCCGTGGCCCGCTCAGAGAACCGGAGCTGTAGGAGGGACTCCCGCGTAAAGGTGAGTCGTGGAAGGGCTCCAGCCCCGAGCACACTCGGTTCTATCGTTCTGTAGCTTGTACAAAGCACGAAAAACAATCCACATAGGATGAGCAGGTAGTCCAGATTGAGTAACCACATTGCTGCGAAACTGAGAAGGTGACACACCAGTCACTCTGATAAAGTTCATAAAAAATGCTTAACACTCTCTGCTCGAGGTAGCTACGCGGGTCGCACACTGTGAAGCGTCCCCGGAAGTCAGACAAACAAAGGACCGGGCCACTTGGCCTAGTTAGTTTGTAGAAACCTATGTGACTGTGCCGTGAGACCTTAGGAACCGCTAGACGTCTGGCGTTTTGCGAGCGCAGTGTTCGGCCAGGTTGATATGACACCAACATGTCTTGAAGATAAAAAGGAGCCAAGCCAAGCCAAAGTGGGCTCCATAAATACGATCTTAGCCTCAGAGTCATTAGCCAATGCCTCAACGCCAGCAATGCATTTTTTGGTATTGTCAAATCTTCCAATAACTGAGTGGATTGAAGATGTTTGCTCTTTAATACCACCCAAGACAGTAGCTATCAGGGCTTTAAAAACACTTGAGGTTCTGAATAATTTTCCCCAAAGCCAGTACAATGTTCCAAGTTTACAGAGGTAGCACTCGTCGCCACACTGAAGCATATCGTTAGTTGCTAAACAGTTCCATGTAGGTCACCTGACAGCATTTCTTCTCACAGACAGCATTTACTGGAAATCTGAGCATTGAAAGAGGAACAATTGGTGCAAAAACAAGAAGATGCTGTGTAACCGGTTCAATGAATGAATGGGGAAACGTTTTCTTCCTGCTCAGAGAGAATAAAGCTGTGAACGAAGGTGGATTCTGAGACACAGCTCTTCACCTGCTGAGACCTACACCAGACTCGCAGACCCGTACATGTGAGTATCTTCTTGTTTTTTAGTACAGTCGGAAAATACAGAGTTCCAGGACAGCCATTGAAAGGTGGCTTCCAACTGTATGTAAGAATATTTATTTACACCTGAAGCCTCCTTACTGTAGAACATGTGATTTAGATTCTCAATGGTTTTAAATTATTCTGCAGAAAAATAGAAAACTTTAATTAAATATCATTTAAACCATAGCTGCTCAAGCACCCCTAAAAATATGATGTCAAGCACCCCTAAAATTATAGAACAAAAAATATATAAAAATGAAAAAAATATATATATATACGGATTTTTAAAACGCATCCAGGTTATTTATAAATACTGTTTTTGTTTCATGAAATTCGTTGTTACCATCTATTTAAAAATGTCTGGAGTCATTCCATTTCATGCAGAGAACGCACCGCAAAGAAAGAAAAAAAAGACGCTGGCGCGCACCTGCTCAGGTCCCGCTGCGTCTGCTTCTCTGACCTCTGTGTCTGTCTGTGTGCTGAGACTGAGCTACAGCGGTGTTTGCCGGTGAAATTTACTTGGTTGGTAATTCATTTTCTATCCCATCTTTTGCCATAAACTGTATGTGAACAGTTCTGCTGCTGACGCTGTATTAAACACCGGTGCTCTGTGTGCGCGGCTCCGCGAGTGTCTGTGGCAGATCTAACATGGACAAGTCCGCCGTAAAGTTCTCTTGAATTGAGTCATTTGGCGTCACATTTACTTATCTCCTGCTTGTCACACACACAGTTCATGTTTTATATGGTATAGATTATGAAGCCCTAAAGCCCTTAGCTTTATACTAACAAATGAAACAAACCTAGCTAGCTCTGTAATGATATCTTCATCACTGTCACTTGATGAAGTAGCAAAGTAAGTCTGTGTTGTGATAGCTTTTTTATATTTATAATATTGAATATAACTCCATACTGAAAGCAAAAAATACACATTTACACTGTATTTTTGTTAGCAAGAGTGGACTTAGCTGCAAAGATGGATATTAGAGGGTTTTTCAAAGGGAAAACTTCAGGTGAGGTTTGTGTAATTTGTAGGGAAATATTAAATAGTATAAAGGACAGTAACTGACCTGCATTAGTCTGTGTTGGTCTGTGATCAGGTAAAAAGATACGGCTGTGATGTCATCAGAGGATCAGAGCCTTTAGTTTGATCCCAGTAATGCAGAATCAAATTAGTCAGAATACATTTTTTTGTGATCTGACTTAAGTTTTAAGTTAATAGGTGCTATATTTATTTTATAGTCTACTTCATGCATATTAAATGTGTCTTATAGTTGACAGCAGTTAAAGGGAAGGAGAATATTGATCAGGGGCAGAGTGAGGGAGAACAGCAGGTAAGACACTAACAACACAAATGTTGGTCCAAGCATGAGTTGTGTGAGCGATGGAATTATTATTTCTTATATTTGCTTTGAGGGCCATGTTTGAAGTTGGGGTCTTGTAATCATTTTCTTAACAAATACGAGCAGAATAGAACAAGCTGATCTTAAGATGTTACTAGTTTTTGAGGCTCTACTTTCAACCACAGGATTGCACAGGTATCTGCAAAAAGAGAATGTTGACTTAGCCCCGTGTGGAGCGGATCCCTCTCTCAGTGTGGGTCTCCCGGAGGTTTCTCACTTTTTTCCCACTGGATTTTTTATGAGTTTTTCCTTGCCGATGCAGGAGGGTTTGTTGGGCAGTTAGTGTCCACATGATGTCACGGCTGCAGACATTTATACTAGATTCTGTGTGAGGCAAATGAGATTCCAGAACCTTCTTCAGGTAAACGAGCTAAGGCAAGAAAATTAGATGTTGTGGAATCCTCATGAAGGGAGAGGAGGGAAGCTGATGTCTCCTCAAAGTCTGTGGATTATCAAAGGAAACTTTTGTTTCGTTGTTTGGATTGGATGCTGGCTGAACTTGAGAAGAGGTTTTCTGGTGTTAGTCAGATGTTGCTTCAAGGTGTTCAAGCATGCAGTGTTTTGTCTGAGCATGATTTGTCAACACTGGCCCAACATTATCACATTGATCTGAGGACAGAAGAAGTGATTGTTGCTAAAAATTACCTTAAGCCAAGAGAGTGAGGCAATGTCAATGCAAGACATGCTCTCAGTGTACAACCTCTTGGAAAATGACGTGTTTCCATCCCTAAAAACAGTTTTACAGGTTGCATTCCTGTCAGCAGCTGTAGCTCTTAGTTGACAACAACCTCTGGTCAAAGTAGTATTCACAACCTGGCAGTTATGTCAGTTGAAAAGGAAGTTCTTGACAAAATGGACAGATTTGCACGACTGAGAGTGAGGCGCCACAGATTAACTCTTTAAGAATCAGGCCGTGTTAATTGCAGTATGCTGCATTTCAGAATTTATTGTAAGATATGTTGTAAGAGCGTGTCATTTTTGTAACTAATTTTGCAGTTTGTTGTACGTTGTACTCATGAGTCTGTTCTAATTATGTTTTATTGTACTATTATTGCAATAAATTTCCATCATATTGAAATTCCATCTACCTATGCCCCTCCCACCCCAAGGTGCTAAGCACCCCTGAAGCTGAAAGTCTAAAATCGCCCCTGTGTGAAGATATTGCCTACAGCGACCACTGGATCCATGAAGTAGCCAGAAATAATGTTGGGGCAGTAATCGCGTTAAAATGCAAACGGTCTCTCCGTTTATGATTAGAATCCGCTTCAGGAGCCTCTATTTAATAAAACACATGCGGCTGAAGTGGTCTCATTCATTGAGCATCAACTGGTGACATCTGGTCAGTATCACGGCTATCGATGGATGCACCAGAAATGCAGTGAATGATATTGTGACTGACAGAGAGACAGTGAGGGAGGTCCACAAACAGAGGCTGGTGAACCACAGTCGCGGGCCGTGACAATATTAAACCTTTTGGAATTGCGATTAGTTCATTGAAGAGTATGTGACGTGACGTGTGTGTGCGTGCGCTCGTCCGAAACGTGAGCGCGCTCTGGGGTGAGCTGATGGAGCGAGTGTGTGGGTAATGTTGTTGCCGTATGAGCAGGAACCAGAGAGATTTAGCCAGTGGTGTTCCAAGGGTACCCCGGGGCCCCAGGCAACAAAGTCCTTGGGGGCCCCGATACCGACCACATAACCACATAAAAATGTTTATATTACAGTAGGTATACATTTATTCCTACTTTTTTATCAAATATATATTATATATATTTGATAAAATGCAATATCTTTTACTTGTTTACATTAACATAAATTAAATGTAGATAATTTCTTATTTTTAACAATGAATGGATAGGCCTGGGGCCTGCCTGGTACAGTCTACCACACAAACTTATCGTGACACAAAGCAATGACAAATAATTTAGCATGTCTTTTTATAAGCTTGTTCACTACACTCATCATGTTATAATTTAATACAAAAACTACAAAGTGTATTAATCCTACAACATCTAATCTTTCATTTGGCCCTCAGTGTTTATATAGTCTAAATTTAAGATTAGCTTCTTAGCTTTAATCTGCAAAAAACGGCTTGTTTTTACCTTTTACCGTTCTTGAGCAATCGGTTATATTATATAATATATAGTTTAATTCAAAACACTACCGACATCCGGATTCGAACCCCGGTCACTGCATCGAAAGAGCGATGTCTTAACCACTAGGCCACCATTTCAATCTGGAAAGACAAGGAGACAAAATGTATTTGAAGTATTTTATTGAAGGTAGTTTGGCGCCCTAGGCCCCGGTGCGGCGTTCAGTCAGCGAGGCTCCTGCGAGAGTGCGCGCACAATCCCCCGGGACCTAGGCACTGGTGGCGGCATTCGGGCAGCAGGAAGAGGCATGATTGAGGCAGGGTGAGAAAAGGAGGAGGAGGGGAGGCGGTGGTTTGCAAGGCTTCGAGAAGGCCGTAAAGTGGGAGTTTCTCCGCTTTTAAGCGGCTGGCCTGGCCGGCGTAGGTTGGTTGGAAATGGGCGTTTGCTGTGCGATAGGCTGGGGCTGCGAGGCCGGCCTGGAAGGGGTGGCTTTGCTGACGTCTTCCAAATTGAATTTCTGCGAGGCTGCATTTCAATCTGGAGAGACGAGGAGACAAAATGCATTTGAAGTATTTTATTGAAGGTAGTTTGGCGCCCTAGGCCCCGGTGCGCCGTTCAGTCAGCGAGGCTCCTGCGAGAGTGCGCGCACAATCCCCAAAAGGCTGTGTGTTTGATGGAGTTTTGCAGGCCTGGTTAGCAGGGGACGTCGTACGTGCACCGCTATATATAAAGGCAACACTATTTATAAAGGCACCGCTATATATAAAGGCAACACTATTTATAAAGGCACCACTATTTATAAAGGCACCACTATTTATAAAGGCAACACTATTTATAAATGCTCAGCTAATGCCGCCACCAGGGAGTTTGCAAGTGCTTTACGGAGATGCCAATAGACGCTGGGCTGCCAGAATAGTCGAAGTGTCAGGCCTGATGTATGAGGAGAGGGCAGATGATGACCAGCGACCCAACGGCTGAAGGGCAGAATGGGGAAGACCCAGGTAAGCAGCGCGCGTAGCTGCGCCTATCCGGAAAGAGTGAGCTGTGTAGAGATGAGGGGACAACTTACAAAGCAGCAGTGCAGACTCGAGTTGGGCTCTGAACCAGTTAGATGCTGGAGCGAAGTGCGGCGCAGAACTGGTGGAGGATGGACAGTGTGATGGGGCGCCTGTGGTCCGAGGAATGCGGGGTGCAGTTGTGAATGCCTTTGATGACGAGTTTGATTGGTGGATCAGAGAATAGAGAGGAGAAAGCGGGGTTGTGACAGCGGGCCTGGAATTGTATCCCGGCGAGAAGAGAGCGAATGTAAGAGATCTTGTAGTGGAGATTGTCCGCACAGTGAACTATGAAGGCGCAGATTGTGCAAGCAGAGGGCGGAATTAGGGGAATGCAGTGAGCGTAGCAAAAGCTGGAGTAGACTTTCCAAGCAAAACTGTACGATTTCAGCGTGGAAGGTGAGAGGCCCCTTTTCCTGTAGGATGAAGCGGAGGAGAGGAGAAGGTGAAGAGACGGAGGGACTAGTCCAGGGCAAGGGATTCTATGGAGGGGATCTGGCATGGCGTTGAATTGGCAGAGGGGCAGAGGCGTCGGAACTCCTGGAATTTAAAGCGAGAGAGACAGTCAGCAATACAGTTAAGGTGACCAGGGACGTGACGAGCAGTGATGATAAAATTATTTAGGACTGAGAGCCATGTGATGCTTCTGAGGAAAGACATGACTTATTTCTACCACGTCGAGATTGACACACATCACGGAAATCCTTTTTCTGTGCCACGTATGGCTCCACAGCACGCAGGCTACGGTCACGGGATATATTTCATGGAGTGCGGAGGAGATGCTTCGAGGGAAAGAGTCGGACCAGGGCCCGGCGAACCACTGGTCCTGGAAAACCCCCAAAAACCCACGGACGGGGCTGCGAGGGCTTTAAACTGAGATGCGCGGGGCCAACTGAGCCTGCAGTACAAAGCGAGGGGAATAACCCGTCCGCAGGTCAGCATACTTACCCACAACGCCAGAAGACAAGGGAAAACACAACGGGACCACACCGTATCGGCACGAGGAGGCAGGGATGCGCACAGCTCCCACCGCACCGGTCCAGACCGGCCGTATGCAGCAGCAGGCCGCGACGAGACGAGCAGCGGCGGACCCGCAGAAAGAGCCCGCAAAGGAGGAGAGCGGCAAAGACCCACGGACCACAGCACTAGACCCGCAGCAGGTGCAGCGACGCGGAGGAGGAGCAGACCACAACGCAGCGAGACAGAGGACAGCAGGGACACGCACGAGTAAGCGTGAGTAGACAAAAGCGATTCCTCCAGAACGACTCTTTGCAAGGCTTCGAGAAGGCCGGCGTAGGTTGGTTGGAAATGGGCGTTTGCTGTGCGATAGGCTGGGGCTACGAGACCGGCCTGGAAGGGGTGGCTTTGCTGACGTCTTCCAAATTGAATTTCCGCGAGGCTGCATTACATTCAATATGAAGTCTGTCCCAGAAAGCTTTGGATCAGACGAAAAGTGACGCCAACTTGTCACTGCATGTAGCTGTTGTAGTCAGTACAAGTTGACTGCTTGTGTCAAATCAGTTGGCCCTCGGGGGCCCCCTGCCGGTTTGGGGGCCCCAGGCAGCTGCCTGCCTTGCCTGTTGCCACGGGACGCCTCTGGATTTAGGGAATAAGTGCCTTGTCTGATTATTTTATTGTGACAAAGTAAGGCCCTGTCTACACGTAGCAGGGCATTTATAAATCCGCCCTCCGCCTAAAAAAAAACTTCTGTCCACACAGCCTCGGTTTTTAAAAAAACGGCATCCACACCTAACCGCATACATGCGTTGTCAATTACATTTCAAACCTACAAACCTACCTTCCTCCGGGAGGACGACTTCCATCTCAAAGTTCTCCCACCAGCTGGCAGTGCGTCCCGGTCTGACCCAAAATTGCCGTTGCCGTCTTTGACGAGGAACATGTCTTGGACGAGGGATGGTTATTTGGCGGAAAATAGCCGACCTTAAAGTGCTCCTTCGTCTGTGCTCTTCAACGTGAAGCAGTATTTGAGCTTGTAAAAACAAGCAAGCAAAAAGTGCCTGAACAATCGTTAAAACAAAAGCGGTTTTGATGGCCTCCATGTTGTTTCTGATGTAAACACAGGTCGCGCGTGTGACGTCAGAGCAGCACGCTGGTAGTGACGTACAGCCGAATACTCCGGTTATTTGTGTCCACACTCAAACGCATAACAGGAGAATTCCCAAATCTTCACTTTGGCCGGAGTTTTCAGAAACCTTCGTTTTTATCGACAGAAAACTCCGGGTTTGTGTGGATGATAGGCCAGATCGTAGGAAAATATCTTCGGTTTGTGAGATATCCTGCTACGTGTAGACGGGGCCTAAAGCCCACAACTCTTTGAGCAACAATCCAGAGAAATAACTCAGCAGATAACAGTGAGGGTCTTTGAAAAGGGACTTAAACCCATTATAGATGCATGAATAAAACCCCGAACTCAACACGTAGCGCATCCTTTCAGCCGTGGAAACACTCGCTCCGTGTGGACCCCTCTCAGCGCCATCGTCTGGTCAGAGTGGTCTATAGCAGATTGGATTGGAATGTCTCGATGGCTCATTTTCCTTTGATTTATTATAAAAAACATATTGCTCACATTATTTGTTACTATGTCGAAATAAGAAGTCGTTTGATTTAAATGTTGTATATATGTAATTTGAATTTAAATAAATAAATAAATAAAAAGACAGCTCCTCCCTGCGTCCTACGACCGCGGTCTGGGGCTTAAACAGGAAAGTTTTACAGAATCAATCAAACAACATTATTTCTGGCTACTTTATGGATGCAGTGGTCACTGTAGGCAATATCTTCACATAATCTGCAGGTGAAGGACGTCCAGAGACCGTTCCATACAACACATACGAGTTTTTGCAGTTGAAAACTCGTAATTTTGACTTTTGAAGTCGAAATGTTGACTTTGAACGTCGTAATTTTGAGTTTAAAACTCAAAATTTTGACTTTCTGTAGGCTTTTTTTTTTTACATGCCGGAAACGGGCTTCCATAGGTTCTCTTATCTTTACAGTATGAAAAGTTTGTGGATGTTATTGCACTGCCGATCTGTTATCGCCTCCACACACTCTGACAACAACAGACGCTTTATAACCAAACTCCACTGCACTAACAGTGAGCACTAAAGATTATAATACGTTTTTGATGTGTGCATTCGAACTAAAACAACAGCAATAGTAGCTCACACACCTGTGTTGCTTCTCCTCCTTCACCTCCTCCCCCTCCTTCACCTCCTCCCCCTCCTTCACCTCCTCCCCCTCCTTCTCCTCCTTCACCTCCTCCCCCTCCTTCTCCTCCTTCACCTCCTCCCCCTCCTTCTCCTCCTTCACCTCCTCCCCCTCCTTCTCCTCCTCCCCCCCTCCTTCTCCTCCTTCTCCGAGGTGTCGCTCGCTGCTCCTCTTCCTCACACACACAGTCCACAGCTCCATACACGCGCTCATTCCCGTCTCTAACTCACTCAGATTAGGGACAGCTCTAGAGTTGCTCTATGCTTGTTATAATGTACTTTGGAACAAGAAAAGTCACGGAGCTCAAGTTGGTGCGCCAGTATAATCGGTCCGTCTGAAACTCATCCTCCAGTGAGGAAGGTTCAAAACACATGCAATTAAAATGCGTCAATTTTTTTAACACGCGCTTTTTTGTGCCGTTAATTAATCGTAATTAACGCGTCCCGGCCCTAATATATATATATATTATATATATATATATATATATATATATATATATATATATTTATTTATATATATATATATATATATATATATATACTGGGAGGGTTCAAGCTCAAGCTCCCAGGCCTCTGGTAGAGGCCTGGGAGCCAACGGAGGGTCAAAGGTGAGTGAACTATTTTTTTTTATATATACACACATTGATATAAACACATGCATTTTTTGCAAATTAAATCTATTTTCTAAATAAATTTGGTACTCCATACATGATATGTGACAAACACATAAGAAGCAGTGGCTCAATGGTTCAATTGACAGCCACTGATGTCCTGACCCTGATTCCAGCTCCTCCACCTCCTAACTATTATGCAATACTTCTAAACATCCATACAAAATCAGGGAAAGGAAAGGCAATCATTGAAGACAAATTGTGGAAAACAAGAGTTGTTTTTAAAGAGGATCTGTGTGTGTCTCAGGTGAACATGGTCGTTGTGAGCAGTGAACCGCTGGAGATGCCGGCTCTGGGACGTCCCTTTAATCTGGGGATGTTGTACGACGCCAGAACAGACAAACTGATCCCAGGTCAGTGACTTCTACAATGACATACAGTATGGCTCCATTGAGCCATGATTGACCTCAGATTTATGTGGAATAAGGATTCAGAACATCACATTTTGTCCGATTGATCATCAAGTAATGACAATATTGTTTTTATTCACATTTCTTTTGTTGGCAGGATAAGAAATAATCTTATAGTAGTGTAATAGTCTTATTAAGTTATTATTTTTTAATCAGGGGAATATACACTTTCTCGTATGCAGTTTCTAAGGTAATAAAGAAAAACATTGCGTTCACGCATTACGCATCCACACATGGTGGCTGAGTGGATAGCACCCTGGCTTTTCAGAAGGTCCTGGGTTCAAATCCCGGTGAAGTGAAAACAAGTGAAAACAATGAACAGATATTTACATTGAATAACAAGAATACAGGTAGCAACAAAAGGGAAAAATCAAAGTTCAATTACCTCAGCGCAACTGAGGTGACGCTGACGTCATCTTCCCAGAGCCCTGATGGGTGCGACACTGCTTGTGTGTCAATTTAAAAACTAAACCTCATTCTCCCGATGTAACACTGCACTCAATTTGTAGGGGGTGCTGATGCTGCAATTTCATTATTTATACTTTCAGTTTACCCAAACCTGGGCGTTGAACTATCAAATCAAATGTTGTGCAAATCGGACTTTGTACTTAGGGGGGCGCTAATGAGCCGATGTCATTGTTCACACTGTCATGTGACCTAGGCCCAGGAGTTAAACAACCGAGTCAAGTTTAGTGAAAATCAGAGTTTGTAAATGTGCTCCTGTTTGCACATACAATCTGTGAGTGTGTCCATACAGTCTATACATGCATCAAGAGTTCTGAGCTTCCAACTCGACTGCACGGCATTGTGGGTAGGTAGGTTGAAAAGGTGGACATCTAATCACGACGATATTGGATTATTTGTTGCGATCAATTGACCTCCCTCGTTTCCAGCCCATAGATAATTTTAATAGTTAAAAAAATCACCAATTTCAAAAGTTTTGAAGGTATTTTTTCATTTAACAAAAAAGCAATGCATTTTTTTCTTGTGGTGTTAGATGTAAACACAACCGACTGACTATAGCGCTACATGTAACTTATAAGACTTACAAGGATCGAATGCTTACACACAAGCTTTATAAACTTGCCCTAAGCTGTATATTTTCAGTTGGGTTAGGTTTAGGCTGCGCCCGGAGTTTGTGACTCATGACAGTTACAACGAGTAATTACTTGGGAAAGCAATAGACCCTTACCCCAGTTGGGGCTCAGGCCTAATTACAGCCGCAAGCGGCATCGAACGACCCTCGCCGCACCGCGCAAAGAAGGTGGCGCTTCCTACAGCCTGATGGGAGCGACACTGCATTTTGAATGCCTATGACCAGTGATTTTGTGTCTTTCATTTTGCCATTGACTCATAATGGGGTGTGTTTTTCATCGCCAGGGCAACAAAGTAAAAAATAAGCTATGGGTCTAATTGAGTTTTTCAATCAGGATAACAAAAAAATAAATATGTGCAAAATGTCATACATTTTGAGAAAACGATCTTTCTACCCATTTAAAACTTGAATCAGTCTCTAGGGGGCACTAATGCTGCAATTCAGTTTACCCAAACCCGAGAGTTTAACAATTAATTCCAATTTGGTGTAAATCAGACTTTGTATGTGCAAACAGAGGGCATTTACTTTGCACAATTGCACCCCCTAAAAATTCAAACTTTCAGTCTCATTCCAAAGAACACTAAAATACATTTTATGCCAGAAAAAAATCACCACAACAAAATGTGGTGATTTTTTTGTTTTTTGTTAAGTGGGTCAATTTGTAAATGTGATTCTGTTTGTACATACAATCTGTGAGTCTGTCCATACTGTCTCCATTGGATAACATGGGAACTTCATGAAAACGTCATGAACTTGGGAGTTCAATTTGGGAGTCTGTCACGCGCAGACCGTTTGACTAATTCAAATTCTGTGATGAACTATTGATGGTACATGTGTTGAGAAGATGTGGAGTGATGTGAAACGGCCGCAGCTGGTTTGTTGTTTGAGCAAGGTGTACATTTCAGAGATTTAACGATTTTCGCATAGACAGAGAAAAGGGAGTGTTTGTTGTCGCCACGGCAACAGGGTAAAAAATATGTATTTGTTGTTATTGTCTTTTTGAATCCAGAGGACAGAATAGAATTATGTGCAAAATTTCAAACATTTTGAAAAAACTAAATTGGATTCACCCTATGAACATTTTTGACATGGGGGGCGCTAATGAGCCAATTTATTTTTGTCAAAAATGTATTAAAAAAAAGTTATATTTTGCCGCTCCGCAAAATGTAACAACTTTTCATGCATGTTCAGGGGGTCAAATTAAGGCAAACGGCGCAGAAGAAAAAAGAAAGAACTAAGGATTTTTTTTTTTTGATGAGTGTCAGTCACTCATTTGAATGAGTTTTGATACACGCTCCAATGCAATGTTTCGAAGCAATTTGCTTCGGAAAGAGCAACACAAGCTCCGGAGCATCGGTGTCATTTGCCCATAATTAATATTTACTCAAAAGTTCTAAAGGTGCTTTCACACCGCCGACACTGGAACGCTGACGCCTTGCGCACCAGACGCACATTCTCTAATTTTCAGACACAGGGGTCTTCAGACCAGATGTCCTGGCCAGTGATGGTGCCCGCCGGAAGTGGCAGAAGTAGCAGGCGGACTTTGATGCTAACGGGATTAAGCCAGCGGCTTTTTGTGCAAAGTTCTTGTCCAATAATGCAGCTCTTCAGCGTCTCTATGTCTGAGACCTTCACAGAATTTATATACAGTGCCTTGCGAAAGTATTCGGCCCCCTTGAACCTTTCAACATTTCGCCACATTTCAGGCTTCAGACATAAAGATATAAAATTTGATTTTTTTGTCATGAATCAACAACAAGTGGGACACAATCGTGAAGTGGAACGAAATTTATTGGATAATTTAAACTTTTTTAACAAATAAAAAACTGAAAAGTGGGGCGTGCAATATTATTCGGCCCCCTTGCGCTAATACTTTGTAGCGCCACCTTTTGCTGCAATTACAGCTGCAAGTCGCTTGTGGTATGTCTCTATCGGTTTTGCACATCGAGAGACTGTAATTCTTGCCCATTCTTCCTTGCAAAACAGCTCGAGCTCAGTGAGGTTGGATGGAGAGCGTTTGTGAACAGCAGTCTTCAGCTCTTTCCACAGATTCTCGATTGGATTCAGGTCTGGACTTTGACTTGGCCATTCTAACACCTGGATACGTCTATTTGTGAACCATTCCATTGTAGATTTGGCTTTATGTTTTGGATCATTGTCCTGTTGGAAGATAAATCTCCGTCCCAGTCTCAGGTCTTTTGCAGACTCCAACAGGTTTTCTTCCAGAATGGTCGTGTACTTGGCTCCATCCATCTTCCCATCAATTTTAGCCATCTTCCCTGTCCCTGCTGAAGAAAAGTAGGCCCAAACCATGATGCTACCACCATGTTTGACAGTGGGGATGGTGTGTTCAGGGTGATGAGCTGTGTTGCTTTTACGCCAAACATATCGTTTTGCATTGTGGCCAAAAAGTTTGATTCTGATTTCATCTGACCAGAGCACCTTCTTCCACATGTTTGGTGTGTCTCCCAGGTGGCTTGTGGCAAACTTTAAACAAGACTTTTTATGCATATCTTTGAGAAATGGCTTTCTTCTTGCCACTCTTCCATAAAGGCCAGATTTGTGCAGTGCACGACTGATTGTTGTCCTATGGACAGACTCTCCCACCTCAGCTGTAGTTATCTGCAGTTCATCCAGAGTGATCATGGGCCTCTTGGCTGCATCTCTGATCAGTCTTCTCCTTGTTTGAAATGAAAGTTTGGAGGGACGGCCGGGTCTTGGTAGATTTGCAGTGGTCTGATACTCCTTCCATTTCAATATAATTGCTTGCACAGTGCTCCTTGAGATGTTTAAAGCTTGGGAAATCTTTTTGTATCCAAATCCGGCTTTAAACTTCTCCACAACAGTATCTCGGACCTGCCTTGTGTGTTCCTTTGTCTTCATGGTTCTCTCTGCGCTTTAAACAGAACCCTGAGACTATCAAAGAGCAGGTGCATTTATACGGAGACTTGATTACACACACAGGTGCATTCTATTTATCATCATCAGTCATTTAGGACAACATTGGATCATTCAAAGATCCTCA